GTATTTGCTGCCGCGTCAGTAATCCACGTGATTAAATAAAGTATTTGCTGCAGCAACCCCTTTGTGCCATTGGTCAAGACAGGTGATGGTGTGTGTGAGCATGTGCAGGTCCGTGGTCCGTCTGGACCTGACTCTGCCCCTGTATCTTGCCGCGTCAGGGTGATAGATGGACGCAGCCTGCTGCCCCTGCTGCAGGGGACCGCAGAACACTCGGCTCACGAGTTCCTGTTCCACTACTGTGGGAAATACCTCCACGCGGCCCGCTGGCACGAGAAGGACAGTGAGTACACGCACAGGGGGCTGGGGGCCTTGTCGGGGGAGGGTTCTCCGTGAGGGTCAGTGAGCCCAAAGTCTGGACACTTGGGCAGGTTATCGATGCTGCCGTCGGGAGGCAGATTCCTCCCTCTCTGGGGCACCTCCGGCTTCCTTCTCAAAGTCCGTCAACTGATTGGACGAGGCCCACCCACACACGCAGAGCAATGTTTTAGCCCAGGGGCACCGACGCAGTGTCGATCGCATCTCAGGGCTACCTTGCTGGTCACACCCACACTCGGGTCTCACCATTTACCTGGTCACCAGGACCCCGTCACGTTGCCACGTGACATTCGGCAACAGGGAGCAAATCCCATTGTTACCGTCTGAGAAGATTCTCTGATACTGTCCAGGAAGACAAGGCAGGTGCCTGGCCAGCATGGTGGGTGAAGCTGTAGCCCTGGACGCTCCATCCAGCCACCTGCCCATCACCCAGCTTCCCACCCACCCGACCATCCATCCACCACCCATCACTCATCCAGCGTCCATCATCCTTCCACCGCCCCTCCCTCCATCCATCATCCACCCACCATCCATCCTCCATCCGTCCACCCACCACCCTCCATCATCCATCATCTATCCTCCATCCATCCTCCAACCTCCCTGGGGCTGGGTCGGGTGTGGACTGTCCGGTGACTTTCTCCCACCCTGACCGCTTCTCTCTGCACCCAGCTGGAAGGCTCTGGAAGGTCCACTACACGACGCCCAGATTCCACCCTGAGGGGGCCGGCGCCTGCTACGGCCACGGCGTGTGCCCCTGCTCTGGGGACGGCGTGACCCACCACCACCCCCCACTGCTCTTTGACCTCTCCAGCGACCCCTCTGAGGCACAGCCGCTGTCCCCCGAGTCTGAACCCCGGTTCCAGGCCGTCGTTGCCAGGGTGGGCCGGGCGGTAGAGGAACACCGGAAGACACTGAGCCCGGCACCTCCCCAGTTCTCATTGGGCAACATCGTGTGGAAGCCGTGGCTGCAGCCCTGCTGCGGGACGTTCCCCTTCTGCTCCTGTGAGGAGGATGGAGACCCGGGTGGGGCCATGCCACCAGCCCAATAGGGCCATGGGCCAGAGAACCAGACCTGGCAGGTGCTGGCGGGACGTGGGGAACACCCAAGCATCCACAGATGTGTGATTGTAATAAAGAGGTGATTGTGAGGAATAGTATGCAGCCATGAAAAAGGAAGTCCCGGTATTTATGGGGATGGAATAAGAAACAAACTCAGTGTCTTGCAGTGATATCACAGCACTGCTCGTGGCAGTCAAGACTCTGCAACACACACAAGTGTACACGGATGTGTGAGTTTAATAAAGAGGTGAGGTGCGGAATAGTATGCAGCCGTGAAAAAGGAAGCCCTGGCATTTACGACCCTGGGGATAGACTAAGAAACAAGTCAGCATCTTGCAGAACTATCACAACAGCCAAGACTTGGGAACACCCAAGTGTCCACAGATGCCCGATTTTAATAAAGAGGTGGTCCCACGGACTAGTATGCAGCCGTGAAAAAGGAAGCCCTGTTGTTTACGACCCTGGGGATAGACTAAGAAACAGATTTGGCATCTTGCAGAGATATCACAGCACTGCTCACAGCAGCCAAGACTTGGGAACACCCAAGTGTCCACAGATGCCTGATTTCAATAAAGAGGTGGTCCCACGGAATAGTATGCAGCCGTGAAAAAGGAAGTCCCGGTATCGATGTCCCTGGGGTCAGACTTGGGAGGCCGCAGAGTCCCAGATGGCATGATCGCCCTTTGGGTGGGATCATCTGAAATAAAACTTCCGTCAGAGAACGGCTGCGTGGTGGTGGTGACCGAGGGTGGTGAGTGGGGGGCCCCCAGTGAGACTCCAGGCTGCCCTAGACAGGAAGGGGCTGCTGTCCAGAATGGGAAGTGAGAGTATCACAGGGGAGCCCCAGAGATGCCCCACCTCCCGTTCAAAAGCGGGGTGTGTGGCTATAAGTACCCAAGTCTGCGAGTTTACCCCGTCACAGCATCTGGGGTTTCACCGCTTCATACACAACCTTGCAAAATAGCAAACGGGCGGGTGCTTTTTCACGACTGCATACTATTCCCTGCCTGAGTCCTCATTTCACGAGTTAGAAATTGAGCATCTTGGGGGCCTGTTCATTGCATCTTGGGGAGCCTGTTCTGAGCACTTGGGACTCTTGTTCTGAGCATCTTGGGGGAGCCTCATCTGAATTCCTTGCCAGCACTTCTCTAAGATTCCTGGATTCTTCCGAGAATCTCTTGATTTCTTGGGCGGCCACAGACACCGCAGCCTCCGGCGCACATGTAAAGGTGTTTCTGAGATTCCACGAATCCAAGGTGGTAGCGCCTGGCCTTGTCCTTTGAACGTAAATCCCCTGCCTGTGAATGCGGAAGGCGTGGAATACTACGCAGCCACGAAAAAGCCAGCCTCTTGCCATTTGCCGCAATGTGGATGACACTGGAGCCGCTTGGGGTCCGTGGAATAAGTCAGCTGGGCAAGGAGGGAAGGAAAGCGGGCGGTTCCCCCTGGTGTGAAGGTCTGGGGTCTCCCGTGCCTGGGGGGCCCTCAGCAGACCCGCTTCAGTCTGCAGGGTCAGTGGTCAGGAG